ATATATTATTTATATTCTTCTTTACTTACTAAGAATATTAAGATATTATTAAGATATACTATTATATATAGGAGATCTTATAGTTAATTATTTATATATATCTAGAATATTACAGGTGTATTATAGAGTCTAAATAGTATTATAAGAAATTTATATTTCCTAAAGAAGATATTAAATACTATCTTAGTAATTAAATTATTTACTATCTATAATTACTAATACTCTAAGAGAAGATTAATTTTTAATAGGATCTTTATCTAATTAACTTAGTTAATTAACTCCTAAATTCTTAGAAATAAGTAAATATTCTTAATAGTAACTTTATTAAGTACTTAGTAATCTATATATATTTATTATTTTCTTTCTAGCTTTAAGATTAATACTACTAGTAAATCTTACTAACTTACTAAGGCCTAGATTACTCTTTTTTATAGTAGTTCTTCTACTTAGTAATAGGTTTTCTTAAACTTCTTTAATAATTAGAGATAAGTATTTATATTAGTTAATTTAGTATTATTAATATTAATAATATAGTCTACTTCTTAGATAGGTAGTATTCCTAGATTAAGTTCTTTTTAGAATATATTCTTAAAGTCTTTTATCTATTTATTATAATTTATAGTTATTAATTTCTTTTTACTAGTTTAAAGGAGATATAACTATACTATTAACTTCTCTTTCTATAAGATCTACTTTAATTATTTTATAGTTACTTACTATACTAAGTTATCTTTATAATATTTAATCTTATATTAGGGGTTAATAAGATAAATAAAGTATATTCTTCTCTTATTTTAAAGGATTATCTAGCTTAATCACTAATTAATCTATAAGTTAGTAACTTTTAGCTAGTTATAATCTAAGATTATCTTATACTTATTAGTATTTAGAATCTATAACTTAATAAGACTAGTCTATTATCTAATTTATATTAGTATTCTTATTTATTAGTAGGTATTTATTATAGCTCTATTTAGTAGTTATATAACTAAGGATATTTTTCTTTTACTATAGAGAGGCTTTATTATATTAAGATAATTAGTAATTATTTATAATATAAATATATAACTAGCTCTATAATTAATAAAAGTCTTAATCTAAATTATCTATCCCTTACTTTATACTTTTATTATATAATATATAAAGTTAATACCTATTATATTTAGATATATCTTAGTAATTCTTTATAATAGTTAAAGATTCCTTCTCTTAGGTAGTTCTTTCTTTCTATTTTTAAAGAGATTATACTATATATCTTAGTAGTTAGAGGCTTTCTTTATTTAATTAATAAGTATCTCTAGATTTATTAATCTTTCTTATTTTTTATTATTTTTAAGAGATATAATTAAAGATATCTAGTTTTACTATATATAAAATATATTTTATTTTAATAATATTATAATTTTTACTTTAGTAAATCCTTATTTAATTAAGAGAAGTTTCTCCTTAGCTAAAGAGAGCTAATAATTATACTTAGATTTATTAAATCTTTATTATACTAGTTAAATTATAGTTTTAATTATAGATTATCTTTAAGTTACTAAGTAATAACTAAGTTATTCTTATAAAGAGAGAAGTATTTAACTACTTTATTATATATTTATAATTATATTTAGTTCTCTACCTATCTTTTCCTAAGCTCTGATTAACTCCTAATAATAAAATTTTAAATAAGAGAAGCTTTATATACTAGGAGAGAGATATATACTATAGCTTTATCTAAGATAGTAATATATAACTATATAGGTTATAGATCTTAGATAAGGCTTTTATATTTCTTCTATCTTTTATTATTTATATTATATTTCTTAAAGTTCTTTAGTAGTTATATATAAAAGATTTCTATATTAATAATTATTAATATAAGATTAATTTATAATTAGGTTTTATTTACTTTCTATCTCTTATAAGTATATCTTATAAGTTTTTACTTAATAATAATAAGATATTCTAGATTAGAGGAAACTCTTCTTATTATTAATAAAATATCCTTAAAATATTTCTTAACTCTCTTTTATTATTCTTAGATAGTATCCCTTATATATATATCTTTATACTCTAGGATAGGAGTAAGATTTAAGATCTTAAAGATAAGTAATAATCTATAATAATAATTTATCTCTTATAATCCTAAGAATAGTACTTATTTATTATATTACTTCTAATAAATACTCTAGAAAAATATATTAATATTAGTAAGTAGTACTTCTTAGGCTACTATCTTAAATAACTTAGTAAAGACTTATTTTATATCCTCTAGTAGATCTTTAGTAGGATTATTTACTATAGATAACTAGTTATTATTAATAGTTCTAGTAGGGAGGTTTAAGAATATTATCTTATAAAGATTATTTTTTATTAAGACTTATTTTAGCAACTAAGTAGTACTTCTCTAGCCTAGAGTTATTATATTTTATTTTATTTCTATCTCTTCTAGTAGGGCTTAGTAAAGAGTTCTCCTATAGTAAAAACTCTTTATTAAGTATAACTATCCTACTATCTTTTAGCTTAAATTTAGTAGTTACTTATAGGGAAGAGTAGTAGGTATTTATTAAGATAAATATAGATCTAATAAAATAAGAGTATTTAATTTCCTATTATCTATAACTTTAGATATATTACTAAATAAAATTACTAAGAGTAAGATAATATTACTAAAGATAAAGAGAGATAGGCTAGGCTAATACCTCTTTACTTACTTAGGATAAGATCTTATATTTATATCTAGCTACTAGCTATCTATCTAAAAGATAAGTTATAGATATTATAGAGATTTCTTAGGTTAATCTTAGTAACCTAGGGTTAACCTTAATAATTATTAATTTACTCATGATATTTGTTCACTGATATTTTAATATTAGGTAGATATTTAATAAAGTAAGTATAAGCCTACTTCTTAATTATTATAGCTACTAGAGGTAGTATATCCTAAGCTATCTATATAAGTAGGCTACTTAGGATAGAGAGAGGGTTAATAATAAATTAATCCCCTAATTAGAATAGTTAGTATATAGCTATAGAGAGTAGTTATAGGGTAGCTTACCTAGTTTACTAGCTAAGAGACTACCTATATTAGAGTTATAGAACCCTAATATAGGGGCTAGATAAGAGAGGGGAGGAACCTAAACCTAAGATCTAATAGAAGCTAGAGAAGTAGCTATTATTACTACTAGAGAGAGAGAGACTTTATAATATATAAACTAAGTAAGAAAAAAAAAAGAGGTATTAATAAAGATAGATATAATATTTTATATTTATAAAATCTATAAGTTAGCTAAAGTTATTAAAAGAGAAGTATATAAAGGTTTATTTATCTATCTATAAGCTATAGAAATAACCTATAGATAAGAATATTATATAAGATAAGCTTATAATAATACTCTCCCTAAAAGGTCCTATTATAATTAGGGATAAGAGAAGAACTACTTATAGATAACTTAGATTACTATCTATAGATATAGAGGTATTATATAAGGAGATAGTTATCCCTATTTATAAAGAGAGGGATAAAGATACTTAAAATAAGAGAAAGATAAATAAAATCTACTTATTTTTAATAATAGTTAATAGATAATAGATAATGGATAATAGATAATGGATAATAGATAATAGCTTAATAAGAGAAGAAAAGAAGATTATAAGAGGCTAGAAGTATTATCTTTAAGAGAGGAATATATAACTATCTTAACTAGCTATCTATATAATAAAAATAGGCTATAAGGTCTTTAACTTTAGGCCTTTATAAGTAGTAAGAGAATCTTTTTCCTATATTAGCTATAATTTTTACTCTTATAAAGAGGTTTTTAGGCTTTTATATAGTTTTTTAATAGCTATACCACATAGAGGAGGCTTATAGGTTAGGATAACTATAAGGTACTAAATACTAACTATAAAGATTATATCTATAAAGGCCTTAAGGGACTAAGGCCTATAAGAAGAGGGGGTATTTATAAGGCCTCCTAATAGTATAGTAAAGATATCTATTTTACCTACATGAGGGTATCTCTTAGTCAGCCCTTACTAAATAGTAGGTTAGGTAAATTCTCCCTTATAGAGGAAGAATCTAAACCTAATATTAATCTACTTAATTATCTAAATTCTTAAAATCCAAGCTATACAGTATCTATTCTTTCATACTAGTCATATTCTGCATACAAGACCTAGTATTCTCACATTTAATAAGTACTTTCTAAGTACTTACTAAGTAGTTAAGATAATTATTTTTCACTATAGCTATTATACTATATATCTTTAGTAGAGAGAGTAATATACTTATTTAATATAGATTATTAAAAATAATTCTAAGTACTTAAAAATTATTTATATACTTATCTTTCTAAATAAATTCTAAGTAATTTCTAAGTACTTAGGTTTTTAAGTACTTAGAAAGTAGTTAACTTTAAGATCTCTTAAGTTTATTAGAGTATTTAATTTAGTAAAATAATAAAAAGGGTGGTATAAGCTAAAATCTATTTTAGTATAATAAAGGATAATATAAGTATTATATAACTTATTCTTATAATTTATAGATTTACTACTCACCAGAGTAAAATTATAAGCTCATCCAACCTGCAACCACGCCAGATCCCCCCCAGTCTCAGTCAGTCGACAACCAAGTATCGTCCCTAGCATGCTCGACGCCCTCTGTGACCACCTCGCCGAAAAGCCTACCCTATACGTCGAAGAGATGGCTATCTTCCTATGGGATGAGTTCAACATATTACCATCGTCATCTAGCATCAAACGTGCTCTTTTGCAAGCTGGCTGGACAAAAAAGAAAGCACAACAGAAAGCCAAAGAACAGAACCCTCAACTACAAGATTTCTACCAGCATAAGCTATCTGAGTTTCGGTCATATCATCTTGTGTTCGTTGATGAATCCGGATGTGATAAAAGGATTGGATACGGATGATCAAATATATCCGTAGGAACTTGCGACTGTTTGGAACCAGTCATGCCCCCCAAATCGTGTCGGTTGGAGATGAAGCATATAGTCGACGATGCTAGAAGCGCTGTGCGATCACCTGCTTGAAAAGCCTGGCCTGTACCTTGATGAGATGGGTATCTTTCTATGGGATGAATTCCAGATGCTTGCAACAGCCTCCAGCATTAGGAGGGCCCTCGTGTGCAAAGGCTGGTCCAGAAAGACCACTCAACAGAAGGCCAAAGAGCAGAACGCTGAGTTGCGAAGGTTATATCTTCACAAGATAGTGCTCGAGGCCATGTTTTGCACGCAGGCCTGAATATTGAGGATGTAGATGATTGATACTGTGACTTACACTCTGTTTTATGGTACTGTAGATTAATATTCTGAAATTGAGTCCTACATTCTAAGCTAGTAATGGTAATATAACCCTGTGATCCCTTCACACTGATCTATTACCATCTTCTATTGGATATTTGTAAGGATCTCTAAGAGAGAGAGATGCCTTAGCTACCCAGTGCGCTACTATATAGGTCTAGATCTGTGAGTTGTCTGGCAACTCATGGTAATATTAGTCTTTTAGCCTTATAGTCTATTAGAATCCAGCTAGCATTCTTATAATTTACTATGAGTTACCAGTCACTAGGTGATTAAGGGATTAATTCTTAGAGCTAGTAGTCAGAATAGATTTTCTAGCTTAGTAGGGCTATATGATCTTATAGGCTTAGGATCTTACCTAATTACCCAGGGTGGCTAACAGGTAGTGGCTGTAAGGCTGCCCCTAGGGGCCAGATATATAGATGTTATGGCAGCTAAGGGCTAGAGGTGCCTAATAGGTATAAGACCTGCTCCCTAGAGATAGGCTTTAAGGCAAAGCCTTAAGAGGGGGAGGGTAGTTATAAGGATCTCTAAGAGAGAGAGATGCCTTAGCTACCTAGTATACTACTATATAGGTCTAGATCTATGAGTTATCTGGCAACTTGTGGTAATGTTAGTCTTTTAGCCTTATGGTCTGTTAGAATCCAGCTAGCATTCTTATAATATTATACTGCATCTTACAGATACTAGCCCCCTATCCTCTATTTATATCTTTATCTTAGTCTTATAAGATACTTTAGATTCCTTATTAAACCCTTTTTTTTATAAGAACTTAATAAGACCTATCTCTGTAGCCCTTTTCTTATAGATTATTTCTAAGGATCCTAAGGATTCTTTATAGGCTTTATTAATTTCTACTTTATAGAAGGTATCTTTTTAATCTTATAATCCTTTAGGGGCTTATAAGCCTGCTCTACTAGCTATTATTTTTTTTAATAGACTAGTTATAATAGATTAAGTATTAAAATTATGAGATTACTAGATCTTATATATAGAATATATAAGGATCTATGATCCGTGAGAATTGGAAACTAGTGTGAAAGAAGAATGATTATAAATAGATTTAAATATAGGTGTCCTTATTCAAAGAGATTATTACTAAACTCTAAAGTTTAGTAGTTATAGGCAGGGTTTATATCTTTATAGATTATATAACTATTTATATGATCTCTTATAAGGAGCCTTCTTATCATTAGGTTCCTCTATAAAAGTAGCTTTAATATAATATATAATAGATCTTTATAAACCTTATAACTATCCCCCCTCTTAAAAGACCTTAGCCCCTAAAGTCTATCTAAGATTCCTTATTTATAATAGGGTGCACTAGTAAAAATCTTTATTTAATAAAAACCCTCTTTTATAGAGGAAAAATCATAAATAATAAAAAAGGTTTACTACCCTCTTCTTTTATAAACTTATATTTATTTATCTTCTTATAAAGGCTTAGTTATAGATAGACCCCTTTAATTATAATATTTTTATTACTATTAAAATCTTCTTATAATATATTTTAAGTTTATATTACTTATTCTTATAATACTTCTATAAATCCCTTAATAGCCTTATTATATAAAATTTCTATAGAGTAGGGTTTAGGGCAGTAGTAGTTTTTATAGAGTATATAAGCTCTTCTTCTCTCTATCTTCTATATTTTCCTTAGTTTTTATTATAAAAGTTTTAGTAAGGGACCTTCTATAATTTATAATATTTAGGAAGAGGTAGTTAATATATTATAAGATATTTTATAGAAAAATATCTTTCTATATCTTCTTCTCTATATCTCTACTCTTACTTATCCTCTCTAACCTCTTAGAGGTAAGTAAAGGCTTATAAGTCTATGGTATTCTTATTAATAATTCTTATAAAAAGAGGAGGAGGTAGCCTTTATACTACTACTACTATCTACTATACCCCTCTCTCCTATGCTTATTATTACTATTACTATTACTAGGCCTATTGCTACTATCCTTACTAGGTCTACTACTACTACTACTACTACTACTACTACTATAGCTCCTCCTACCTCCCTTTCCCTTATTCCTATAGGGGCCTTCCTCCCCTTATATAGGGTTATATACAGGCCCTTTTTTATTAATTTAATAAGAATATAACTAGCTCCTATTATAAGGGGAGCCTCTATCTTTAGGCTACTACTACCTCTAGTAGATACTCCTAGGGCTAACTAGGATACCCCTATACCTACTACTAGTAGTATTACTACCTAGGCTTCTAGCCTAATATAAAGCTA